AAGTAAAAGAAACAGTAGAATAAATTCGAATGTTTTTTTTCATTATATTGCCGATAATTAAAAGACTATTTATAGAGAAAAATTCATACATTATTTAATTTAGTTATTTTTAAATATAACAAAACGTCGTTAAATGAAAAATAAATTTATTAATTGATTAAAAATAAATAAATTTAGTTAATTAAATCTTTTATTAACAGAATTCCGCTTTTTTTTTTTTAAACATTTAATAACCTTTCATACGTGATAAAACAAGGAGAATTTATTGTGTTGTTATGTAAATAACATGGAAATATATTTTAAAAACACAGGAGAAAATAGAACAAGTTTAATGTTACAAATTTAACTTTATAATAATAACAATAAATAATATTTTTCTCGAGAATTATAGCATAATATACGAAAAATACTCATAAAAATCCTCTTTTTTTTAAAAAAATAATGTAAATTTAATTAATTATCTCATTTATATTTATATAACTTTTGAATTTATGATACAGAGTTGTTTTTTTATCATTTTTATTTTACTAAAATGTATCAACTTTTATTCTCTGATACTACATTTAATCAAGAAATGGCCTTCTTTTATCTTTCAATATGACAAAATGCTTTCTAAAAATGAAAGTATTATAAGTATTATATCGATATAAAAAAGGTTTTAAACAATATATGAGCAATAAGTAATTTATTTTCATCATAAAACCATTAAAAAATGTTTAAAATCGCTATTATAAGAAGTGATGTACTTACGGGTTTTTAGTTAAGAAGCTTATTTATTATGAAGCTAAACTTATTGTTTGTGAAAAAAACAATTGAAATTGTAACTGAAATTACAATCTATTCCTCTTAATAATTCATACTTATTATAATAGGCCTATTTTTCGGTAATACCAATTGTTATAATTATTAAACCACACAATACAGTATATATATATATATATATGTATTTATTCAAGCTGAAAAACTCAGTAGCTTTTAACAAATTAAACATTTAAAAATTAATTTTATTACTAATGTATAAGAGTGGTAGAGAAAGGATCGGTTACTTTTTAACTCAAACTAATTTTCTCGACACTTTTAATCAGCAAATTGTATTCTCATGGGTAGTATAGTCTATTGGGATTTGAAGCACTTCACCCAATTAGGGACCCAAAAAGGCGCGATGGTGCTGGTTTTTTTGGGGGGGTGCTCCTACTGAATGTATAATAAGAAAATCCTGTTTTAGTTGCCACCAAAACGCTCGGGAAATGACGCAGAATTATTGAGGAACTCTGTCGGAAGGGCAATTTCCGTTAGAGACCGTTAGAGGGGCACAGGAAATTGTAGGGTCGATCCGGGTCGGGTATAAAAAAAAAAAAAAAAAAAAAATTCTATTCATGTATTAAAAAGAGGATTCAACTCTGCTAGGATCTGATTTAAATGACTATAGAGTTAAACTGTACACTTCCAGTTAATATATAACACATTTTACCCTGATAAACTTACAAAAATTTTATATAAAAATTAAAATTTATAACTTGTTTATAAAGTTTTATATTTAATTAAAACTTCCAGACATTAATAATCCTATTTTAAGATCCTCTATTAAAAATAAAAGCATTTATTTATTGGTATGAACTAGTTTTTTTTTTATATTAGTCGACCCCCAATAACACTGTTAATTATTCCGTTTTATATGAATTCCATGTTGTACGAGTCACTTAGATTTTACAAATACGAGAGCNATCCTATTTTAAGATCCTCTATTAAAAATAAAAGCATTTATTTATTGGTATGAACTAGTTTTTTTTTTATATTAGTCGACCCCCAATAACACTGTTAATTATTCCGTTTTATATGAATTCCATGTTGTACGAGTCACTTAGATTTTACAAATACGTGTGCTAGGCTGTGAACGGCTCACTTATTTGTAAAATCTAAGTGACTCGTACAACATGGAATTCATATAAAACGAAATTATCAACAGTGTTATAGGGGGTCGACTTGTATAGGCCTATATATATATATACAGATCTCTCTTATTGATGGACAATTTTACTTTATTTATTTATATAAAAAGAATTTTACAAGCTAGCAAGGCAGTAAAACATTTACATCCGGTTAAATTTTAAAATATTTATATAATTTACAGGAAGGTTTGCTATAAAATATAATGGAATTTTTTGTAGATTCTTTAACGTAAATACTTATTTGTTGGAGGTTAAAATAGAAACAATGTCAGAAAATGTCGATAAAATTTTATCATATTGATGGGAAATACAAATAAAACGTGACATAATCTTGTCACAAAACAGATTTTGAATGATAGATAACCTTTAGCGGAGCGATCAACAATGTCATTGAACTTGATTCGGAGTCAATAAAACATTAAAACTTCTTACTTAAATATTTAATAATAAAATACTTTAAAATTCTATATTAACTTGTACTTAATTAAATAATAAATATATAAAGTTTTTAAGTTTTAAATACAGTATATATATAGTTACTTCACGATATGTAGGCACTTAGTTACTATACTTTACTTCAAATTACAGAAGCGTAAATCCGTTCTGACTTAAATGAATAGATTTAATTCGAATAATATAACAATTAACTACTCTAGTAATAAAATATCATTATCTTAGCATTAATTAGAAAAAAAATTTAAAGTAGAATGCAATGTCATCACAGCGTAATTAATCGAAAATTGTGACTGCTTGGAGATGAACACAGTTCATTCGTTGCCTGGAGTTCTAGATCAGTAACAACTACGCAATTAATAGAAGAGTTTCTATGGTAATGTTACTGACTACAAGTAAAAGAAGAAACAAAAAAAAAAAAAACAAAAAAAGAAAGAAAGAATCGAGGTAATTGGTCCGAGGGGTCGTTAGCGTGCCTAACCTAACAACATACAAAAGAATATCACGTCTGGTTTATCTATAAAACTCGCCATACAATATTCATTAAAACGTTGCAGAGTTAAGTAAATTGGCTTGTGGACAACTTTGAATTTCTATAGATTCTAGCTACTCTAATATATATAAATAAAATTGAGCAATGGTTAAGTCTCAGACGTTTCGACTACAAATCGTTAAAGCAAGGGGCAAAAGATTGGAATTTCCCGGGACTGAAATATTCCTCTATTTATAGATTTCGGGTGGCACTTTAATTACGACGTGTCATGAGGTGGGCTATTGACGTCAATGGATAATTTTTTTTTTTTTTTTTTTCTTTTTTCGGGGACTAAACTGAACCGTTTTTGGCACGCACCACTACACAATAATAAGACAAACATGGATCCAAACATAGAATAAATTTAAAGATTCTATTATCCTTTTTTCTTTCTTTAACCGATATCTTTCAAATTAGTCTGTGTAATAAAATATTATCTTCGAATGTCGTTAGTTAACAGCCATAAGAAATTTTATCTGCAGTACACACCTAATTATTACTATTGTACCATATGTAATCATTAGTACCTATAATGATTCGTGTAATTTGTTGTTATCACTTAGTTAATCGTATTTTTAATAATTATTGATTATGATAACTTATAAATTATCATTTTTATCACATCCGTTAATTACTTTTTTAACTGCAAAGCTATCATTTTCTAAATGTTTATTAATATTTTCCTCGTAATCGTTCTCTTATCGATACTTTTTCCCATTGATAAGGCTTTAAAACTTGACTACGAACGTATTCAAAAGGCCTATATATATTGTTTTTTTTAACAGAAATAAGCTAGAAAAAGAGCAACGTCTACGATACAAAAGTAAATCGGTTGCCAAATTTTGAATTTCTTTTTTTCGAGATTTTTCCTTAGATAAATTGTTGTTGACAGAATATACAAATAATGTCTCTTTCTTTAATTTTTAACAAGACATTTTCATTTCGATTCGAGTTATTTGTCAACATATAAAAATATTACAAAATAAAATAATAATAAAAAAAGAAGTTTGAGAGAATTTATTTATTATTATTAAAAAAAAATTCTTTCTTAATTTTTGAGGAGGAAAATAATATAAATTTTCTTTTTAAAATGTAAGATAGAAGAAGCAATTTTCTAAAATAAAAGAACGAAAAAAAAGCAATTTATAAATATAAAAAAAAAAATCGAAATACATCTTATAACTTTTTTTTTAATGTTTGTTCTCATCTTAAATCATTCCACGTTGGAAAAGATATAAAAAAAAAAGAGAGAGAGAGAAGAGAAATAAAGTGATAAAACGATTATAAACTCGAAAAAAAAGCTTTTTTAATGAAATCTGCCTGCTCTAGAAATTAAATAAACTTAATATAATCTATAAATTTTCGTTGTTTCTTATATAGAAATTGTAAGAAATGTATAACCTTCGAGAATGGAACGACTTTAAAATCTAAAAGAAAAGAAAAAAAAAACGAACTCTGGCTTATTTATGTAAGTTTAAACGAGGATAAAAATTTAAAAAATAAAAAGTTTAAAGCTACAAACAGATATAAAACGAGATTTCGATCAAAATAATTATTATGGATCATCGATCCGAACACTTTAACTTCAACAAACATCAAACCTAACAGAAAGAAAATGATATTTAATTAGCTTCGTGACAACTATCTTCTTCTTAATGATCTAATTTGCATTTTCATCATCTCCCAATTCTCAAAGTCGAATTTTCTTTTCTTTCTTTCTTATTATTATTATATTTTTTTAAATGGTCTTTTAAGACCAATGACGTTTAGATGATGAAGACTTTGGGGTGGGAGGTAAATGCGAACGACATAGTTGCGATGACTGACAAAAAGCGGATCCATTATTTCTACCATTTTATAGCTCTTTAAGTACGTCTTTTACTAACTGTTATGTCTGGCTACATTTACTGGATAAGAATGAACTTCGTGCTTTAGCGACGAACCGAAGGATGATGATGATAATGCTATTTTTTCGTGTTAGAGTGAAAGCAAAAATAAAAATAAAAAAAAATCTCTGCAAAAATTGTTTTAAACCAATAAGAAAATCATTATTTATGTATACTTACCTCCATAAAACGTATATGGCGACCAGAAGTGCTACTGCTATGATGGAAGAGCAAACTGCGATGACTGGAAGCGAAGGAAATGGTGTCTGACTATATTCAGCTTCGACCAAGTCGATATGGCAATAAGGCAAGTCGGAATCGTAGCCTCCTTGGCATTGTCTAGAAGTTGGAGGAGCGGGAGGAGGTGGAAGGCGAAATTGTGGAGGTGGAGGAGGTCCAGGACAATCGCATTTATAATCTGCTTCTTCGCTATCCCAATATGGACTTGGATCTACTAGTAAACTCGCTTCCGATTCCATAGCCAAACCTATAAATTAGTAATAAAAAAAATATATATATATATATATATGTGTGTTCCTTAGAAAATATTCTATGTACTTTCTGTGCAGATGCATAAACAAGCCGTAGCTCCATTTATAGAAATCTTCTATATCATTTTTTTTTTAGGAAAAATACTTTTTCTGATGACTAGCCGAATACTTTCAAGTATCAGAAATTGCTTTCTACAAAAAAATTCTCTATAATTTTTAAGTTTCTGACTTTTTTTTTGTAATATATATACATTTTTCCCCACAAAACTAAATAAATACTTGTTTCTAATACGGTAATTTATGTGTAACACTATATTTTAATACCTAAAATCTAACATGTTTTCTTGAAAATACAAAAAAGTCTACCGAATTGAAAAGTTTTCTACGGGAAATAATCTCCTATTTTTAAACAGGTAAACTGTATTTTTTTAAGTGAAAAAATGGGTTATTTTCTGTAGTAAATACTAGCCGAACATCAGAAAATATAGAGAATATTTCTTATAGGAGAGAAGGAAGACTGAATAGTGCTGAACATGCTTTGAATTTCCTGAACGTATATAGAGAATGTTTTCTATAGATTAGCTACTAAATACATTATTTATAAGTATAAAAATTATAAAATGATACTTTAAAGAAATTTGCAATAACCTTCATTAAAATATACAGAAAATATTTATATTACTTCTTACTAAATAAATACGCTTTTATTTACTAAATAAAGAATGTTTATTTGGTAAGAGTATTCTCTAGAGTATTATTTTATATATTAGAAAATACTTCTTGTTTATTGTTTTATTTATTAATTTAATAATAATAATAATAATAATAATAATAACAGGTTTTTTTCAATAAAAAGAAATATTTAAATAAATAATTTCTTAAAAATGATACGAACTTTTAAATTCAATGAAACGAATACATGAATAAATTTCTCAACGAAAGGAGGCAAATTGTTTTCATCAGTATTCAACTTTAACATAACAATTGGATAGATTAAATGGCTAACTGGATATTATTCATAATTAATGAATTCAAATTTATGACTTCATGTAATTTTTTTGATAAAAAAAAAAAAAGGAGGAAAAACCAGGAGGAAAAATTTTTCTACTAAAATACAGGCTAAAGCATCAGCTCCTCCCTTCTCTGGAGGTCTGCAAGAGGCACTATAAAGGTAGATTATTTCTTTTTTTTTATTATTTTCTTCTCTTCCCCATAACCTAAAATGAAATTTCCTGTTATAGAAGTTAGTTAAGTGCTCATCTAATTGATTCTTTTTTTTCCGGAATTCCTTTTTTAAAATCATTTAAATGCTTTCATTAATAAATTTTAATGTAATGTTCATTTGTCATAAACCAAAAATTTCCCTTTTATTCGCGCGAGTGTTACTCAAAATGTAATGAAAGGAAAACAAAAAAAAATAATAATAAATAAAAGAGCATATTTTCCGAGAGGGAAAGCGAAGGGGAAAGGAAAACGTAATCGTTGTTTATACCGTTTTTCTACGATAAGGGGGGTGGAAAAAAAAGCTTTTTTCGTTTAAAGATAAATGTGTCTGAGTGAGAGTTGACAAAAGAAAACCCGAACGATTTATATTGAGAAAAGTCCTTGAATAAAACTACATCAATTTTTCTTCTTTAACAAACGATTGGCAATAAAACGACCAGTTTTTGTTAGATCCTTCCAAATATTTCCGATCGTAAATTTCAATTTTCGATTCTATTGGTACGAATTTCGAAGTTTTTTTTAAGAAAAATTTCCATCTCCAAAAGTATTTTCTTGCACGGATTGACTCGGAACTTAGAAGAAAAAAAAACGAGAGAAGTAAGAGGGGAAAAGGGAAAAAACCTTTTAAACAATACGAATTCTCAGTAAGTAAATCGATTTTTAGAATTAAAAAATTCCATTGCCGTACCAACTCTGTTAAAAAAAATCCGCGTTAAAAGTATTAAACTTTCAAAGCTATACTTGTATAATAATATCCTGTATTCGAGTTTAAGCAATAGAGACACAAACAGCAGTCGTTTCGCATACCACAAGTGGTTATAAGACGGCAAAAACTATCAGAGTGTCACAGGGAGAGAGAGAGAGAGAGAGAGAGAGTCGTCGCTACGTCACTCCCTACGTCAATTAGGGGTGGAATTGCGTGACTAAATCACTCAAACTGTCGTCACCGAAAGTCTTACCTGAATCTACAAACTTGTTGGCTGAGTCTCAGCTAGTGAATGTAGATCGAGTGGGAGTGCAGTGCGTTATGTCACCAGTTGTCGCACTGATAACGCCACCTACAGCTTAGATATCTTTTACAGATACAACAACAAAATAAACAGCATCGCTAATTGGCATTAATAATGCAAATGACTCTAAATAATACAGATCAAACGGCTCTTTGTTATTTTATTAAAACTCCATTATTTATAGCTTTTTAAATATTTACAAATTTGGCTTTTTTTCTTTATTTTCTCTCCGTTCAAAGGTAAACAAAGATTAATTATATTTTCCTATCTTAATATATGTATTTTTACATCTTTATATACGTCTAGAAATGTCTAAATTGCGTAATAAATAGCTTATAAAATTTTATAAATTAACTGAATCGATAGAAGAATACTTGTGAATAATTTATTTAACGAAATTAAACAAAGAAAAAGATTCCTTTTTGTGTTCAATTAATATTATATACCTGTACTGAATTGGATTGTAAGAAAGTAAAATCTCTATCACGTGTTTATCTAAAAATTGTAAAGGTATAAACTTTGATCTGATATAATTAATGTTATCGCAATTATCTCTTATCGTGACTGGAGACAGAATCGAACTTTGCTTTTATTTATTAAGCATGAGTCATAGCTTTGGAAAGAAACATATATACATTTTTCCTTATCTTTTTATTAAATTAAATGGTATCATAAGCATTTTTTTACACACACGAATCGTTCGGTTAGATGAACACGGCAAAGATACATCCGGATTTTCGCATGGAGAACTCGAATATAATAAGCAGAACGATGAATACTCCGGCCTTAGCACAGTATGACGTATGCTATCAACCCCTAACAGTGGCTGTTAAATTATATCTGGCATCTGTTAGTGGCTACAGAAAGAAAGTTATGAGACAAGAGAACACTTAGCACCGCAGGAATAAAATTCGATTCTATTATAAACTGAAGCAGGAAATAGTATCGGAAGATCTCGTAATATTATTAATGTTATCAAGATTCACTGAACTATTTCGATCTCAGAGTACCTACTAATTAACTATTTTTATTTATTATCTAGTTATTAGTTTATTTTAATATTTACTTTAAACATTATATATACAATTTATCAATAGAACGAAATTAAAACTACATAACGTAGGCGGAGATTCTTATAAACTTTAACTTGTTTACATTAAACACATTTTAGAAAAGGTAAAAAAAAAAAAAAAAAATCTGGAACGTTGTAATCTATGTAAAGAATGAAAGGCACGGTTTAAATTCTATCGTTCAAAGAAAACATCTGTTAGAATTCCCAGATTCAATAATGGAAAACTAATGTCATCTAACGGTATTCTTCTAAAATAAGCAAAAGAATTTTAAAGAAATCCAACAGGATAGATCACGTCCCTGTCGTGAGTTTCGCAACTTAACATCTGTTCTCGTATCAGTGGAGCCAATAAACAAACTTCTTTCTAATTATAGAAATTTTCGATAAACAAAACGATTTTTGTTATTTTTAAATAAATGTATTTTCTCTAAATTTCTTAAGGTTATTAAGTTTTTAAAACGTGCATTTTTTTTTTAATATTTGTTTTAAGAGAGTTTAAGGCCTATTTATTTTTTAGATTTTAAGATGTAAAACTAAATGTTCGAATTTCCATTCTTATCGGTTTCGAATAAATAACTCTTTCTGCTAATTCTACAAGCGAGAAAGACGGTGATAACCTTTGAGAAATGGCGACACATTATCAATACGAACAGTAAAGATCGAAGAGACAAGGATTTGCTCTTCTCTCTTATCCCCTGAGGATAAGTAACTTCAACCCCCTTATTCTCCTTCAAACTAAACGCTTTTGTTAAATGAAAAATGAGAATACAATCGAAATTTTTTCCTATTAAAAATCTTCACGTAATAAAAATCTGTAACAATACGAAACAATACATTAATTAGTTTCTATTTAAACAAAAATAACATCCGTTATCGAGAATTGGAGACTTGTTTGCTTGAAAATATTTGATTATGTAAAAGTTAATTATAAATGTTATACCTTAATTACACACTAAATATAAGTAGATAAGCTAGAATGTCAGAAAGAAAAGAAAAAAAAAAAAAGATATTCTTTAAAAAAATTCATAATTAAGAAGGAAAAAGAACGACGAGATTCTTAAGTAATTTTTATCGCAATTTCTACTGAAAGACTGAATAAATAAAGCACGATTTTATTTTATTTTTTAAATACACATTCTGAAGATTTAATTTATTTAAAAAAAAGAAATCTTTTTAGATTTATAAAACATAAACGCTAAAAACTTGTAGTAGATTCCCCTCATCCTCCTTCTCCTTCTCCTCCTTCTTCTCCTCCTCCTCCTCCTCCTTCTCCTTTAGACTTTCCATCTCCTGTTCGATTTTCGAAAGGAAAACAAGAAGCGCGAAAATTAGTAAAGGGGAGAAAAGAAATAAAAGAGGGTGATTAAAAAAAAAAGGGAAAAAAGGTAAAATTCTTATCTCTACAATGGTTTTTGTCGTTTTAATTAGATCGTGGTGGAGCGACGTGTTCTGATGACAAAATCAATTCCTAAAGAAAAAGATGTGTAGAAGACGATCGGAACGACTAAATCGCGTGAGATGCGCTACCGAATAGGGAAATACGAGTAGAGCTTAAGATGTAGGTTATCAAATGCAGATTTTCATCCCGTGCAGATTCATTTTGAGAGAACGTCTTAACGTTTAAGGGACGTGTGATGTATGTTTAAACATTGGCTCAATGTTTAGTCTGCGGATGGCTCCTTGTAATCAA